ATATTGTTAAACAACATTTCAAGTCTGCTAACATTTCCTCATAAAATTTCACGATTTTCGACCATTTATTATTTTTCACCTTCTTCGTTGTGGGACTTTTATTTTGAAGGAAAATCGACAAGGTCCCAGATGTATTCTTGCTAGGTCTTGCTTATTCTTGCTGGTGGAAGGCAGGTGATTCTCGCTTGCAGTTAGTTCCTCAGTAAACACAAATGTGTTCATGTCATCAGCAAGACTGAGCTTCTTCTTCCTCTTCTTCGTTGAGGTTTAACAGCGGCTGGAATCCAATGTATGTTGCATTATACAATGGGTGTGTCTAATCCTGAATGCTGATTGGTTAAAACTGCCTTCCAGCCGGTGTCTATTCCACAAGTTACCACCGGCTAAATCTATGAAGTTAAAATGCCTATTTACTCTGTTCCATCTGACTGCGCAATCCACTGTTTCATCAGCCCAGCCAGGCAATTTATCAACTTGATCTCCACCATAAAAAGCTAGACATTATCGTACATTTCTTTTAGACTAACATTTAGTTTTCAACAGCAGAGATTTGTATAAACCTTGTTGTATGTCTCTCCGACATTTGCAACATTGTTTTTGCATTTGCAACATTGTTTTAATATTCAAATTCCATCTCCAGCTGTCCCATAGTAATGAACGAGTTGGGACGAGACAGACAGGCAGGCAGCGTTTCTCAGCCAGTCGAAATCATGAATCAGCTGGCATCATTTTATGGATATACTGTATACAAAGAAATGTCTATTGAAAAAAGGTAAAAGTGAGTTAGTTTGCAGTCTTTCCAGCTTCCGTTTGAAGTTACTGTGTTGTTAGCTGTGTTGCTGGCTAGCTCCTCTGAACAACAGTGTCCTGATGAGTGAGCACATTTTCTATGCCAGGCGAAATCGCACCACATTAGCTCATTGTTATGGATGTATCCAAATAAATGTCACTAGAAAACAGCTTTAACAAATGCAAATGCAGCTACTTTGCTGTTATTCTGGCTTTTTGACGTGACTGTAAGTTAGTCATAGTTGGCTAGCTAGCTAGAAAGCAAGGGATAGGAACGTTGCCAGCCAGTATGGCAATGGAACATTTAGAATGAAGAACTGGGTCGCGTCCATGATACAGTACAAAAAGACTGAATGACTGGCTCGTGTCTCTGGCAACCGAACCGATAGAACAAACGATTAGCCGGCTTGGGTAGCAACCCTAGATTTGTGTCGGGACTGTATCTTGTGGAACAATGAAATAGTATGAATAAATTAATCAAAATAATGTTTTAAATTAAAATACTGTATGTTAATCATTATTTGAATATGTTGGTAACCCGTTGTATAAAAGTGATAATGCCCTCGAAGACGGTGTTTGTAGGACATATTGGCACGGTTTGCCTAACAACACCCGTGCCAATATATCCTCCAAACACCGGCTTCTCTGGCATTATCACTTAATTACCACCACCAACTAGACTGGAGTATAAATCCATTATAATTTGATCCACAAAACAAAAAAAAACAATTTACCCTACCATTTAACCCTATACTCATTAAAACACAACTTTTTCCACCAAAACTAAACATTCCTCTATCCCATGCCCTCCTGCACACTTCCCACATCTTGGAATCTCCCTCCTGCACACTGCTGCAACATGACCATACACTTGGCAGCTGAAACATATTTGTAAAAAATTAAAATAAAAATTAAAATAAAAAAAAGGGAAATGGGGTGAAATGAAATTGCACCGCCATCTAACCCTATATAAAGTATGGGCTCCTGAATGGCGCAGCGGTCTAAGGCACTGCATCTCAGTGCTTGAGGCGTCACTACAGACCCCTTGGTTCGATTCCAGGCTGTATCACAACCGGCCGTGATTGGGAGTCCCATAGGGCGGCGCACAATTGGCCCAGCATCGTCTGGGTTTGGCTGGTGTAGGCCGTCATTGTAAATAAGAATTTGTTCTTAACTGACTTGCCTAGTTAAATAAAGGTAAAATAAAAAAATAAAACAAAATATGCCACTACCCCAACACCCTTCCCAGTACTTTGTCCCAGACAGATCCTATACCAGGATTGTTGGCCTGGGAGGCTGGAACCCTTTCTCTCAAAACCCCCTGTAGTTCTTCTGCACTCAAATCTCTGATACCCAAAAACTTCTCTGCTGCTACTACCAATTAAATCTTCTGGGATTTCCTTTCCATCTGTGCGGCACAATTAAGTACCATAGCAATAAATACCAAGAAGCCAACCTTACTAAAGCACAAACTGTTCGGGTCACTCTGTACTGGCCTACTACTCACAGGGATCCGCTCAGGCTCCCTCACCCTTTGCCCACCATCCTCTACTTTCTGCACTGCCTCAGCATATGACACTTTCTGCACTGCTCTCACCCTGGAAACTTAAATCTGTCTCACTCGCACAGGACATTTCTGATCCCCAGCAACATGGCCACCCCCACAATTGAAACACTTTTTCCACTGAAACTACACACTCTTTTGTCCCATGCCCTCCTGCACATATCTCACACCTTGGAATCTCCCTCCTACATACTGCTGCAACATGACCATACACCTGGCACCTGAAACAACGTAGTGGGTTCGGAACAAAAGCTCTCACGGGATAACTTATATAGCATAGCATGACTTTATCCGGCAAACACTCTGCATCAAAACTCAGAAGGACAGACAGGGTTTCCTCAGTCTCACACTCGCCACCAGGTCTGCGTCGCACCAAACGGTGTGCATCACAGACATCGGGGAGTCCCAACTTCAGTTGATCCACCTTAACACTCAACCCCAACCCCAGTTATCACTACTTTCAGCGGCGCTGGAGAGCAAAGCAGGACACCACTTTCGTCCCGAGTCTCGAAACTCGCAGCGCCCTCTCCCTCTGAGCAGCAGACACACAAAAAATCAACACGTCCGCCTCTGGATACTTTGACCTAATTGACAGAAGCAAACTCCTTCTTCACCCAGCCTGATACATTTACATTTACATTTTCGTCATTTAGCAGACGCTCTTATCCAGAGCGACTTACAAATTGGTGCATTCACCTTATGATAGCCAGTGGGACAACCACTTTACAATATATCCTTTTTTTTATTTTGGTAGGGGGAGGGTAGAAGGATTACTTTTATCCTATCCCAGGTATTCCTTAAAGAGGTGGGGTTTGAAGTGTCTCCAGAAGGTGGTGAGTGACTCCGCTGTCCTGGCGTCGTGAGGGAGCTTGTTCCATAATTGGGGTGCCAGAGCAGCGAACTGTTTTCACTGGGCTGAGCGGGAACTGTGCTTCTGCAGAGGTAGGGGGGCCAGCAGGCCAGAGGTGGATGAACGCAATGCCCTCCTTTGGGTGTAGGGACTGATCAGAGCCTGAAGGTACGGAGGTGCCGTTCCCCCCACAAATGCGACGACCAATAGGCATGGATCCACTTTCTCCACTAATCGTACTCCCACTGTGCCAGAGTCATCTCGGACATTTTCCTGATCACTGGGGTGAGGCTCGGAAACCTTCACCTCACCTGATGACACAGGTTCTTTCTCCTCACTTTTGTCAGGATCAATTTGAAGTTCACTATCCGTCGGCTGCTCAGGGTCTTCAGGCGCGTAACATGCATTTTTCTCTCCTGTACTTGACCCAAAAGAGAAAGTACTCGGTTTGTATTTTGCAGTCGGTTCGGGTTTGCAACATGCGCCTCGCTTCTTCTCGCCATCCGCCCTCTTCTTCGTCCGGTCCTCCGACACAATGTCTTCCATCTCCTTGTGGGACTTCAGGAAACTCAGTATCGAGCTGCCCGCTGCTGCCATGCTCCCTTAAGAAACCTTTCCACGTCATCCACAACAAAGCTATTGCACCATCCAGGGGTGTATTTCAATAGTCCAAAGTGGTTTCCTCTCTACGTGTCCTTGTCTGGACTGATAAAGTAGGCCTCAACTAAACCTCAACTAAATCTCACAGAAGATTAAGGAAAATATAGGTAATTGTTGACTACTGAGATGTACACTATGGGGAATCAATATAGTCTAAAGATGCTTTATCTCCTCTTCTGTTATCCTTCATTGACAATGATCTGAAAATAAAATCTGGACAGGTTGAATCAGGTTCCTTGGTAGGTTTCCATATATCTTCTCAGATCGTTGCAGCAGAAATAGAGGAGATGAGGAAATGCATGAGTGCGACCTTAGTGATTGCACGACCTCGTCAAGAGGTTAAGACCTCTTAGTGTAATGGTAAATGTATCGAAGGAATCCAGGTTCGAGTCCTGGTCAGGCTATCTTCAGAATTAGCTTTAATATGAAATTCTGCAAAGGTTAAAGTAGGTCTTGTGCGTGCACTGTAGATACTCACTGAATCTCCTTCCACCTTTACCCATCAGAATTCAGATAATTCAGCTTGTAATGGACTTTATAATTTTGTGTTGTTTGATGACACAAACAAGGATCATCAACACATTAGAAGCAAAAAATGTAAATACTCAAAATAAACAAGACATAATTTTGTCTATACTTGCATAGCTATATACTGTACATTGAACTAGTTTTATGCAATTGTATGGCTCGTCAAGTGCTTAATGATAGATCTTTAAACTTTGTGCACCTCCTTGAATCATCGCATACAATAATGATCATATATTCTCAAATGAGCCCCACTGATGTTTTTCCCATCTTATTTTGTTTATCCTGATTTCACCTTAGAATAAACCTAAACTTCATTATCCCATCACATACACATGAGATATCAACGATTTAAACAGTGTGCATTCTACTCTGCAAATCCTCCTTTGCAAGAAGCAGGTCATGGCATAGCTCTATCGGCATAGTCCTGACAAAGAGGACATGTGAGATTGGGAGATTGGGAGATGTGGAGAGAAGGGATTAAATCATCTGACATGTTTCAAATGGAAGCAGACTCACCATGGTTGTGCCCCCAATGGCACCCTTTCCCCCCCATAGGGCCCTGGTCAAAAGTAGTGCACTATATAGGGAATAGGATGCCATTTGGGACGTAGCCCAGGCCAAGCATCTATTTCAGCCCTTCTCTTTCAGGTTGTATTCAGAAGTAGAGGGAACAGCTTCATTGATTTCATCCTGCATTGATTAGCTGTGTTACCATTGGCACAGGAATGAGTGACTGCAGCTGTTTGTTGTTGATGCTGTGTCAGTGCCAGATCCTCCTCTGTTAGGTGAGATGCCTAATGTTGTCTTCATAATGACTTGGGTCACTTCTCAGCATTCCATCACAAGAAAGCGTCATTCGTTTTCTCTAAAACCTGCAACGTATTACATGAATAAGTATTATTTATCTCATTCTATAGTATTAATATTTGTATCTGTGTGTGTGTGTGTGTGTTTGTGTGCATGCATGTGTGTGTGTGTCTGTGTGCATGCATGCATGTGAGTGTTCCTCACCTGAGTGCTGTGGAGTATGACCCCAGGAGTGATTGGAAGCCCACTATGTTTGAATCTCTCATACCCTGACCTCTCCACAACCAGTAATTTCAAAGACGACTCGCTCTTCTTTATCAGCATCACAACGTCCTCAAAGTACTCATTCTCTACATTCTGGCCATTCACTTCCACAACTACATCCCCTTCCCACAGTCCAGCCCTATGTCCTGAGCCCTTTACCACCACCTGCAGGACAAAAGAAAACTGTAGTCATAACCGTGCCACTCATTTCTCATAGGAACCATCTTAACACCTGCCCTCCTCCTTATAGGAATGCTTGTGGAAAACAACACAGCAGATCAATATCAGGAACTTTTGATTAATGATAGCTGTTACTCATTAGCACAACTTTGATTGGGGATGTTTCCAATTGCCTATTTATGTCAGGAAACATCAATAATTATAGACATCAAATAAATGAGCGAGCGAGAGATAGATGACAAGGGTGTTATGTTGTTGATGTTCAAAGGAATACCTGGCCTATGAAAGTTCCTGGCTCATGTTGAACACAGCCCAGATTAAACCCAAAGCCAGATTCTTCTCTCTGGAGGACACAGAGTCTTGGACAGGGAAGTGAACCATGCTCGCTTTTCCTCAGCCCATCCTGAATCTCAGTGCAAGGGGACTGTGTCTTCCTCTTCCCCTCTCCTTCTGGCAGATTGTCCTCATGAAATAGCAGGGGAGATATACCCAACTGCAGTAGGGAACAGAATAGGCTGTTTTTGACTGGGAAGGTATTTTTAGTTGACATAATTCTAAGACAATCTTGTATTTGGTCTCAGCATTAATCTCAGCAACATTTTAACATAAGCATAATCTTACTGTAATTTCCTCCTGAGGATCAATACAATAAAATAAAATTCAGGAAAACTCAGAGGATCCTACTAACTACAGTATCAATATTCTAGCACCAGAACTTGCTTAACTCCTATTCTCCAAACTGCACATGACCTCCGTCCGCTTACACACCTGTGTGTAGAAGTCTCTTCCATGTATGGGTATGGTGGTGAGGCTAACCTGCTTGCCACTCTTCCTCACTTTCCTGACAATATCCTCATGCTGCATGGACTCTGAAGGCTGCCCATTGACCGCCAGCAGCAAGTCTCCATCCTGCATACCAGCCTCTTCTGCTGGACTCCCCACATCCACCTCACGGAGTACGTGAGCTGGAATCAACAGCAAAAAAATTCAGCTCAGCCAGCAGGTATAATGCTTATTACTTGTTATAAGCATGTATGAGTCTTTCTAATGTCCTATTACAAGGTTTGTAATGTGTATAGTATGTCTGTCTATGCAGCACATTTTGTACGGACTTAGAATGACTGTTATTTAGTCAGGATCATTAAGAGATGATAATAAGATATTATAAGGTGGTCATAGTAGGTGCTTGTAACATGGCCATGCATGCTTAAAACAAATGGAAGTTTCTAGCAAAAAAAGCATATGTATTGTTAGATGATGTGTGCGTACTGTATGTGTGCATCATTCTCACCAATACGACCCCCTGATGACAACCTCTCTTGTCGTAATAGGAAGCCGTATCCATCTGACCCCTGGCACCAGATGCATCGTTGTGGGTCTGTGTGGTAGGTTGTGAGAGCCGGCCATGATAGGCAAGATGGGCAGTTTCCGCCGGATGTAGCTCGCTTCACTTTCTCTGTCGATGACTAGGACGGTCACATAGACGCTACATTTCTTCACCTGAGCAGTATAAAGAGCTAAACTTGAGGGAGAAATGAGGAACGTGCTCGCACGTGCACACACACAGACATACGAAGACACATACAGAGACACATACAGAGACACACACACATCTGCCATGTGAGTTTGTTTACCAAGAGCAGTTCCGAGAAGGAGGGTCTGTATGTTTACCATTTTACTGATAGCTGAATGGGTGAGCGTTGACACCATGGAACCGTTGATCCACACCAGTCTATCTCCACTACGCACCCCTGCCCTCTCTGCAGGACCCTCACTTACTGTGCTCAACATGTATCGACCCTTCTGACCTGGAGAGATACAAACAGACACAATCAAACATCTTCACAGAGATCCTCTCTTCAGTAATCAAATAAAGTCTTATTTGTCACATACGCCGAATACAACAGGTGTAGACTTTACCGTGAAATGCTTACTTACGAGCTCTTTCCCAACAAAGCAGAGTTAAAAAGTATGAAAAAAAAGAAATAGTAACGCAATAAAATAACAATAACGAGGCTATATACAAGGTACCGAGTCAATGTGCAGGGGTATGAGGTAGTTGAGGTAATATGGACATGTAGGTAGGGGTAAAAGTGACTAGGCAATCAGGATAGATAATAAACAAAGTAGCAGCAGCGTATGTGAAGAGTGTGAAAGTGTGTCTGTGTGTGAGTGTACAGTATGTGTGTGGCGTCAATATGCGTGTGTGTGTGTGTGTGTGTATGTGTGTGTGTGTGTGTGTGTGTGTGTGTGTGTGTGTGTGTGTGTGTGTGTGTGTGTGAGTAGAGTCCAGTGAGTGTGCATTGTGTGTGTGTGTGTGTGTGTGTGTGTGTGTGAGTAGAGTCCAGTGAGTGTGCATAGAGCCGGTGCAAGAATGTCAGTGCAAAAATAAGGGGGTCAATGCAAATAGTCCGGGTAGCCATTTGATTAACTGTTCAGCAGTTTTACGGAGAACCCTTTTTGATTCCAGGTAGAACCCTTTTGGTTCCAGGTAGAACCCTTTACACAGAGGGTTCTACATGGAACCCAAAAGAGTTCTACCTGGAACAAAAAAGGGTTCAGGGCCCATGCCAAATATTTTCAGCCTCATAATCATACTATGCAGGCCTAAACATTTACATGAACTCTGCACAACATTTTGAGATAGAAGCCATAGTTTGATTGAGTGGCAAACATCATCATTTCTCAACCTTCTCTCGACCATCTCTCGACTAACCCTAACCCTATATCAACCGACGTTGATAACCTGGGATCAATTCCACAGTCCGGCGTTTCTTAAATTTGACTCCACCCTTATCTGCCTCCCCATCTCCCCCTCTCTCCTTCCTACTGTCTAGCCAAAAAAGATTACGGAATGAATAACTCATAGCTACCTTCAATGGGGATGATGCTGATCCCCAGACCTAAGACAGGGTCTCTGGTGATGTGGCACAGCCTGGGCCGGGAACACGTCTCCCCTCGATAAGCCCTGGTCAGAACCTGGAGGTCCAGTCCCTGGGCCAGTGCCTCCTTATACTCCTCCCCCTTCAGAACCAGCAGGAACAGCTGCAACCCACACGCCTGGATCCTCTGCACCACCTGTCAATCAAAGCAGAACATGCTGCAGCTAAGAAACAAAGACTCTGTTTAGACCAAGTAGGTAAGCCTTGTCGGAGCCAGAATGGCCCATAGGGCAGGAGCCTGTTTATGTAGCGAGGGGCAGCTTTATGTGCATGTACACCCCCTGGACAGGACGCTAGTCTGTTGTATTGAGGCCAAGTATTTGGCACATATTGTATACTTTGAACAATGTGGCTCATTTTCAAATGAAAGTGAGGCAGAGGACACTGTTGGAGACATTGTAAGAGAAGTGGTTCTCTCAGGTCTCTTAAAGTCTGGTTCTGACCCACATGTGATGAAGCAGACCCACTTTACATACAGGAACTCAAATCTGTGTGCCAAAGCTTTAAGAAACGTGTGCACAATGATTCCACTGGCATAACGGGACGTCTGGTTCTCACCCTGGGGAACTCCATGTTGTCGACAAAGTCCTCGTTGACCTCCAGCACATGGTCCCCGTCCCTGAGCCCACCGAGCTCTGCAGGACTCCACGGATCCACCTGGCGGACAACATAGCCCCGGCAGCTCCTCTCCATACTCAGGTGGAAGCCAAAACTCTGGCCCTCTTTGCACTTTATCTGGCACAGGCAGGGGTACCGGACTCAGGTCTGGCTCTAGAGGGCAAGACAAAACACTGCCATTGACATAGGATGGGCATTGTGTGTGGATACCTAAAGAAGTCAGGCTTATCTTGATTACTATGATTGATGAACTAGTGTTAGACAGATCATTTTCCATGTGTTGGAATGGTGGATCATTTTGGATGTGTTCATTCTCAAACCTTACCAGGGTCGTCCGAGATGACCAAGGCTGGATTGTCGATCCCCTCTTTTGGATTGAAGGTGAACCTTCGCGTAAGGAACATGAAAAATATAAAAGTTGAAAGAAGTGGCTTTAAGGATGTGTGTTAATGACACATTCGCTAATGTCCTATTTTGTATTATGCAAATTGTCTCCAGTCCAATTCTTAGCCATCAAAACAAAAAACTATAATCACTCCTCCTACCGTGGAAATTCCATTGCATCCTCAAGACCTAGAATGACAGAAAAAAGAGATTGACAAAAATCCCTCAAGTTTTTTTTCTCTGCAGTAATGATTCCAGGAATGACCTTCTCCCTGTGGCTTTGTGTCCTTGGTCCAAACATCCAGCTTACTCATCTCCAACTGAGATATAGTGCCTTCAGAAAGTACTCACACCCCTTGACTTTTTCCACATTTTGTTGTGTTACAGCCTAAATTTAAAATGGATTAAATGTTTTACAAATTGTCACTGCCCTACACACAATACCCCATAATGTCAAAATTGAATTATCTTTTTTGACATTTTTACAAATGAATAAAAAGTGAAAAGCTGAAATGTCTTCAGTCAATAAGTATTCAACCTCTTTGTTATGGCAAGCCTAAATAGGTTTAGGATACCTATTGGTAGATGGGTAAAAAATGAACAGATATTCAATATCCCTTTGAGCATGGTGAAGTTATTAATTACACTTTGGATGGTGTACCAATACACCCAGTCACTACAAAGATACAGGCGTCCTTCCAGTTGCTGGAGAGGAAGAAAACCATTCAGGGATTTCACCATGAGGCCAATGGTGACTTTAAAACAGTTACAGAGTTTAATGGCTGTGATAGAAAAAAACTGAGGATTGATCAACAACATTGTAGTTACTCCACCTAATTGACAGAGTGAAAAGAAGGAAGCCTGTACAGAATACAAATATTTCAAAGCATGCATCCTGTTTGCAACAAGGCACAAATAAAATGTGGCAAAGCAATTAACATTCTGTCCTGAATACAAAGTGTTATGTTTGGGGTAAATCCAATACAACACATTACTGAGTACCACTCTCCATGTTTTCAAGCATAGTGGTGGCTGCATCATGTTGTGGGTATGCTTGTAATCGTTAAGGACTGGGTAGTTTTTCAGGATAAAAAATTAACGGAATGGAGCTAAGCACAGGCAAAATCCTAGAGGAAAACCTGGTTCAGTCTGCTTTCCAACATTGGAGTTGCTTACCAAGAAGACAGTGAATGTTCCTGAGTGGCCGAGTTAGGTTTTGATGTAAATTGACTTGAAAATCTATGGCAAGACCTGAAAATGGTTGTCTAGCAATGACCAACAACCAATTTGACAGAGCGTGAAGAATTTTGAAAATAATAATGGGCAAATGTTCAGGTGTGGAAAGCAATTAGAGACTTACCCAGAAAGACTCACAGCTGTAATCACTGCCAAAGGTGCTTTTACAAAGTATTGAATTACTGGTGTAAATTAGATAATTCTGTATAACATTTTTAAAAAAACATGAAAATAATTATAAAAACACGTTTCACTCTGTCATTATGGAATATTGTGTAGGTGAGAAAAAATATATATTTAATCTTTTTTGAATTCAGGCTGTAACACAACAAAATGTGGAATAAGTGAAGGGGTATGGATACTTTCTGAAGGCACTGTATGATCCCCCGGCCCAGTCCGGGTGCATGAGCATCACTGGACACAGTCAGAGGTGATCATTAGCTCAAAGATTTCATGTCTCTCCAGCATCCAGCCCTTCTATTTTTCTATGTTTAGCTGTACAGTAAATATCCTTACAGATTACTTTGATGAATGAATCGTACTGAGAGAAAAACATGTGACCGTGTCAATATAGCATTTGATAGGCACAGTCAAGTCATTCATTACTTATTACTGTAACGTCATTCTAAGGTTAACCTTCATCTTTCATCATAAATATCCTAATGACTAATATTAGGATGAGGAGGATACTCACACTCACACGCCCCAGCATGCCAGTCCTTATACAAGCATTTCTCATTTGTAAACAGAATTCATCCCTTCCCTTCCTGCTCGACTGTTGCACACACACACACACACACACACACAGACAACACATACCCACATTCAACCTCTTGGCAAGGAGAGGTCTGTGCAGGCTATCAGGTTGTTAGTGGTGATATCTGCAGTGTCATGTTCCCAGCTATCTGCTGACTGTCATTATTCTAGCTGTGGAGGGACCAAGCAGCTTTTATCACAGGGCCTTTATTAAAGGAATGCTGTCTTTTTTCATTCTCTATTATAGATAGACATAGCAAGGACTGCCCATGTTGTATGTTGACTATCAACATGTTTATTTTGGATACAGCAGTCAATGTAGGCTAGCATATTCATGTATGCTGAGGGGGTAGCAGTTTACAATTCATTATTCATCCAAAAAACGCTAAAATGTACAATCCAGTCTTCATTCTCATTTTGGAATGAAACTTGTTACCTCGTAGAGGTAGAGACATTCATTCCCAGCACTGTCACATAGCACAGAAGGCTACCTTTTATCACCAATGATTAAACACACTTTAGAACACACTCACACTGACTCACAGAGAGAACGCATGTCAGAATATACCTAAAGGCTATTGTAATGTAAAATGCTATTTAAATATACAAATCTCATATTGTGTACTCGTTCGATTTCTAAAGCAAGACCAGCCTAGTGAAGCAGAGAAGCATGTCTGTGTCTTGCCATAGAAAACAATGGAGACTGGTCTTGAGAAAGGCATTGTGCCAAAACGTATACATTAAACATTATATCCTCTTGTCTTTGTTGTGTCTAGATGTAGAAAAACAGACTCTTACCTGTGGTGTACTTCATGGCTGCTGTCCTTGTGTCTGGACGTCCTCCTGGCTGCCTGAGGTTGTATGGAGGTGCAAGGTACACAGCAGATTGGGATGTTAAGATTCCGCTGTTATGTCAACATTTGAGACGGTAACTCCTTCCTCCTCCACCATAACACTAGGCCTCCTAGGCTTAATGTTTAGCTAACCTGTGACGAGATCTGGTAACCCATCACAACACTAAACACTCCCCAGGTTTCTTAGATAACAGTGTTATCATAAAATGGTTTACGAGCTTAAACAACTCTTAGCTGATACCAACAATTTGACAATATTGACTATACTGTGGTCCTCTGTAGCTCAATTGGTAGAGCATGGCGCTTGTAACGCCAGGGTAGTGGGTTCGATCCCCGGGACCACCCATACGTAAAAATGTATGCGCACATGACTATAAGTCGCTTTGGATAAATGCGTCTGCTAAATGGCATATATTATTATATTAAAAGGCCATTGGGGGTCATGAGTGCTACACTGCAGGTGAAAGAATGGTTCAAAACTTTGCTGGTTGATTATGGACACAATGCGACTAAAACAATAACGAGCCCATCTGGAAATGCTATGAGGATCTAGGTTAGAGCTATGGTTTGAATGCGTTGGTGTGGGGACCTTGAGTAGACGAGGGGACACTCCGGAGAGTCCACAATGAAAAACTGGATATGCTCCCATAGCCCCCCTGCCACCCGGACACGCACGGGGAGAGTGCGCCGGGTGATGAAGCCCGACGTCAACTGCCGGCCGTCCAGGCCCATGACCGGAACCGGCTCGGAGAGGGAGAGTAACGGAACGCTCCACCCTTGGCCAGCCCCGTGTCCATCAGGTTTCCCCCAGAATCCACCAGTGCATGCGAATGATCCCGGGTGAATCCACCAGATCATGGGTGAATTGGTAGGAGTCGGAGCACGCCGGAGTTTGGCTCTCCCACTCCATGGTAGCCTAGGAAAGGGCGCCATGCCCACATGAGGGCGATTGTTTTCCTTGTCCCGGCCAGAGACGCAGGCCATGAGGGAGGGTGCCCAGGAGGGACATTCTGGACCCAGGGCTGATAACAACATTCCATTGCTCCACCCGGAGGCGCCGAGGTGAACGGCTGGGGACGTTCGTCGGGGGGGGGGGGGGGGGGGCACTATTACAGGAGGGGGTCGCAGTTCCGGAGCGATCCACTAGGTGTCCTCCTCCTCCAACAACCTTAGGCACCTTCTCACTCACAGTCTGGACTAATTATGATCCTATTGGTGTCACCTGTGTCTACCTGTTCACCTGTGTATTTATACCCTCAATTCCCTGTGTTTGCTTGCTCCGTTTTCTCTGCTAGTTTCTCTATGCTCAGCAGTACTAATCAGTGTCTGATCGGAGAAGTAGGTACAGGTACTCGAGAAGTGTTATCCCTGTTTCTTTATTATTTCAGTCGTAATTACTATTTCGTATTTTGGCTGTCAGCCTGTTTTTGGAGATTTATTTGCTCCACCTTTCTGTTATCGTGTTAAGTCCGTTGTTTTGTATCCTGGCTTTGGGACCACCAGTAAAGATCCTTGTTTCACCATCTCTGCCTACTGTCTATCCTGCACCGCACCTGGGTCACACCTCACACCAACCCTTACAGAAGGCTGTCTTCCACTCGTATCCTTCCCGTATCTGAATCAGATGGTAGGCGTTCCGAATGTCCAACTTGGTGAAGATGACCGCCCCCTGGAGAGGCTCGAAAGACGAGGAGATGAGTGGTAGCGGGTAATGGTTTTTAACCGTAATGTCATTAAGACCCCGGTAGTCGATACATGGATGCAGGGCCTTGTCCTTCTTCTCCACAAAGAAGAACCCTGTGCCGGTGGGGGAGGCAGATGGACACATAATCCCTGCAGCGAGAGAGTCCTCATCGTACCCTTCCATCGCTTTGGTCTCCGGACCCGACAGGGAATAAAGTTTCCCCCAAGGCCGTGCGGTGCCCAGGAGAAGGGCGATAGCACAGTCGTAGGGCCGATGCGGAGGAAGAAATGTGGCACAGGCCTTCTGAAAGCCTCCCGGAGGTCCTGGTACGCCGCAGGAACGGTGGAGAGGTCCGAAGCTTCTTCCGAGCCCACAGGAAGACATGCCGGGGCAGGTTGCACTGACTTCAGGCAATGGGCATGGCAAAACAGACTCCAACCCATGATGGAACCCATAGCCCAGTCGACTAGGGGGTTGTGCCTCTGGAGCCATGAAAACCCCAAAACCATGGGTACACGAGGAGACTCCAGGAGCAGAAACTGCATAGCCTCACTGTGGTTGCCTGACACTCGCAGGTTGATAGAAACCGTATTGTGAGTGACTCTGCCCATAGAGCGCCCATCCAGCGCTCTGACGTCCATCGGGATGGAAAGGGGTTGAGTGGAGATGCCCAGCTCCAACACCAGGGTAGTGTCCATAAAACTCTCGTCAGCCCCAGAGTCAATGAGACCCGGATGGATTTGGACAGGTCTCCCCACAACAGGGTAGCATACAGGGGGTTATGAGTAAAGGGAGATTGGAAACTCCCCTTACGGCTCACCAGTGTACTCATACCTACTGATGAGCCTGGTTTTTTAATGAGCAGGTAGATAAGAAATGTCCCGTAGCTCCACAATACAGACAGCTCTTAGTGTTTAGTCTGCGTAAGCACTCAGCAGGAGAGTCTTGACATAGTTGGAGCAGCTTACGAGCAGCTTCTCTCCCGGACAATGGAGAATCGAAACACTTTTTGTACCTCTGCCACGAACTCCTCCAGACTGAGGCAAACGGTGGCCTGTTGCTCCCACACTGCCGTAGCCCAGGCTAGGGCCCTCCCGGACATCAGCGTTATCAAGTATGCTATCTTTGAGCGGTCCGAGGGGAACGAAGAAGGCTGCAGCCCGAAGATGAGGGAGCACTGGGAGAGAAACACCCGGCAGGTTCCAGAATCTCCAGCGTAGCACTCCAGAGGAGGTATGCGAGGTTCTCATGACACCAGGTAGGCTGGGAAGAAGCGCCACTGGTGGTGGGGTTCCTGAGAGTCTGGGGGGTTACTGTTGTGGCTTGCTGTCTAGTTGGGAATCCGTGGAATTGCTCCAGCAATATATTGAACGCATGGGCATGGCGTTCTGCCAGGGTATGGAGTCCCTCCATAAGGCTTTATAGTAACCCCTCGTGTCTTCCAATGGTGGCTCCTTGGAAGGAGACAGCGTTGCGGAGCTGGTCCGAGTCTGCTGGGTCAGTCATGGCCAGTTCGTACTTTCACGGCTGGGGGGGATCTTGGAGGGCTGGTGGGGATCTTGGAGGGCTGGTGGCCTGGCGGTTGGAAGCTTGGGCCGGTGGCTGATGGATCGCTGGTTCGGGTCCCAGTTTTTGACTTTGTTGGAGATCTGTCGACGTGCCCTTGAGCAGGGCGTTGACTGTGGTTTCTTCTGTGTGTCGCTCTGGATGGTAGTCTGTTAGATGACTAAAGTGATGTAGTTGTTGAGCGGCTTCACTGCAAGTATATTGTATGTTTTAAATAAAAAATTAAAAAATAAAAAGACCCAGATGCAGACACAGGAGGCGGATAGTACAAGTCTCAGAGTTTATTACAGTACAAGAGGCAGGCAATCGGTAGGTCAAGGCAGGCAAAGAGTCATAATCCAAATCAGAGGTTTGGACACCTCTCAGTAAATAGAGGATTTGGAGTGTTATTGATAAGGCTTTGGGTCACCTTAGATTTACCATCTGTATTCTGAAAATGATAACATAACTTAGTGAGGTGAACAGAGGGTATATGTAACTTAGTAGGTAAAAATACACTAGTAATATGACGTTTTTACTGTGGTAAGTAGTGACTGTTACCATGGACAGATACAAGAGGTCAATCTTGTGAGTTGGTGAGAATCCTATTTCCCTAGCTCCAATCAAAAAAAAGTTGACTTGACTAAGGCCACACAAATCGAGGCTTCTCTCACTTGAGGTTGTGCGTGTGGTGGAAGGCGGGCCACAGCATGGTCAGCAGGTCATTGGTCAGGTGACAGGAAGAAAGATCCAGCTCCTCCAGGTGGTATCTCGAGGGTGCGCAGGCCAGCACAGAGCTTAGGACGAAGCACTTGAGGGGCGTCATGCGCACGGTGGACAGCTTGATGCTGCAGATGGAGAGCAGAACCTCTGCCGTGGATCTGGAACATGTAGAGGAGAACCATCAGGTCCATGAGCTCCTCAGGGGGCTGCCACTTCACGATCTCCGCCGCCAGGTGCTTCTTGAGGGTCCGTTTGATCTGAGCCACCGTGGTGCTCTTGATGTTGCAGTCCAGCTGCTCCAGCAGAACCCGGTTCCCGTAGTGAAGCAGGCTGCCCATGAAGATGGGGTAGAGCTCGAAGGCCCGGCTGTCCAGGCGCTCCTGGGGAAGGCTCTGCTCTACTTGGTCCAGCACGTCTTCGTTGAAGCTGTCCTGGGTGCGGAACATCTCTGCCACCATGGTGCGGGCGATGCGGACCTTGCTGCGGCTGCAGATCATCTCAAACAGGCTTGGAAAAGCTTGAGCAGGTTGAAGACAGCGAAGACCCTGAGGGGGATGAACTTGGAGATGATGCTGATGAGGGTGTTGACGTCTCCGCCCACTTGGCCGATGGCCACGGTCACCTCTTTGCTCAGCTTCTCCAGAGCTGTCTTGTTCTCACTGAGGACGACGTACAGGGCAGCCAGGTACTCTTGCATGGCGAGAATGGCAAACACGTAGCGCATCTTCTTTTCATCAACCTCTGACCCTTTGGTCTCGACGCAAGGCACCAGGTAGAAGTCGAGAACATCAGTGCGGGAACACGGCCAGCTGACGCAGTTCCTCGTCTGTTTTGGTCTGTTCCAGTTCTTTGGAGAAGGAAGTGTGCTTTTTGTTGACTCCGTCAAAGGCCAGTTTGCCCACAGTGCAGACTACATAGAGCATCAACGAGTTCTGGTGCTCTAGAGAAGATACTCCCCCACCCATGTCAGCACCTCCTCTCCAAAGTTGAGCCTCAGGAAGCTGGTATAGATACCAGTTAGCGTACATATGGGAAATGTAAAAAGTGGAGGATGGCACAAGTCAGCCAGCAATAGGAAGGTAAAAAGTGGTTCTCCCTCTGTAGGTTGAGGCAAAGCAGCTTGATGAGGGACTGGGCCTCCTGGTTTCTCGGCTTCTCTCCAATCTGTTGCAGCAGTCGGCTTGTGAAGTATGCTCGCTTGCGATTTGGGTCATTGAAGCCACATATCTGTGCATAGCGTTTCACATACTTCGTAGGGCTGTGGTCAAGGGCAGACAACCTGGTGGTGACCAAAATACTGGCCTAAGAAAATTGAGTTAAATTATCAATAAATATACATTACTGAACATTTTTCATCAAAACTTACTGGGGTTGGAAATGGACATACTGAACTTGATAGCCTTGAATGGTAACATAATGTATTTTTCTGTTTTATTTTATGGTAGTACTGTCTCTGCATTGCTCAAACAGCACTTCCTTAGCACACATCACATTCTACTGTAAGTAACTGACTAAACGTGTGTTGTGGGCCCTTACCTCAGGCAGCAAGTATTTCCTGAGCAGGTTCACCACCACTGCCCCGGAGGGGAGGGCCTCATTGGGGTCGCTGCACAGCTCCGTGTTGCCAATACAGAAGTCCAGTTTCATCTTCTCCATTTTGTTAAACAGAAACAACACGTCCTTGGCCTGGTCGCTCTCTCCACTCAGCATGGGGATCTTCTTCAGGTGCAGGTATTACCTGCTGACCAGGTCTCTCAGAGATGTGGACTTGGATAACTGGGAGAGGTCCTTGCAGGAGAAGGACACCAGTAGTTTGAACTGGGTCAAAGTGAGCCCGGCACACCAGTCTAGAACCAGCTTCCGCACCACCGTGATCTTCCCTGTCCCGACTGCCCCATACAGCAGCACGTTAAGGTCCTGCTCCGTTCCTCCTTGCTGAGTGGGCTCAAAGAGCTGCTCCACGGTGACCAAGGCGCTCTGAGGGGCCTGGGATGCCTTGAGGAGGGGGGTGATTAAGGGCCCTTTCCTCTCCTCTGGCTTCCTTTCCAGGATGAGGGGCTCCACGTGCATGGTCTCTGGGGTGAAGTGGGTGGCTGAACCATAAGGTAAACTTCTTCTTGTGGATCTCAAAGGGGTCTGTGAAGGAAAGGACCAGTATTTAAACACAGCAATGAACGAACACATGCTCTTGAATTATCAAGAGCACTAAGATTACTGAAATACATAAGCCAAAATCTCTATTGTTGCAGGATTCTACAGGATAGTATGTCCACACATTGCATTACCTACAGTAGGCTTAACTATCTTGTTATAACCTATCTAACTACCCTATAACAGACCAGTCAGTACAGTATAGTACAGTACAATACAGAACATGCTGTTATGGAACACTTACCACTTTGCTCTTACTTTTTGTTTCTTTTTAGTACTGGTCTGTTTATTGCATACTTATTTCCCTGACATAATGTCTGGTATGTGATGTGACGTGTGGCTGAAACATGCAGAGCAAAGGGCAAAATAAGAGAGAAGAGGCTTATGCAATTAGATTGTGCCAATCTTTCCCATTCAATTGGGAAGGAGGTTTCCTAATACATAGCAGGGACCTACAGAACAGATGGTGTGAATTACAAGGACCAGACTTCAACCTTAAGTGATGGGACACATGTACAAGCTCTGTTTACCTGTTTAATTATGGACCAGACTTACCTACCTCAGGCCCACTGGAGCAAAAAAGCCTTGAATGAAATCCACTGGCTGAATAGAAGTATTTCAACTTCCTCCATGGTCCTCCTGGAAGCCTCAGCTGTCTGTGGGGGTGGACACAGAGGCTCACTCAACAACAGTGATTATTTCTCTACTTACATGTCACAACAGGTAGCATGCCTCCAGGACACACAAAATACTGATCTAGCACTAAGACTAGCACTTTATTGGGTGGTTTCCTGGACACAGATTAAGCCTAGTCCTGGAATAAAAAGCAAGCTCAATGGAGAATCGCCATTAAAAAATGCTTTTTAGTCCAGTATTAGGCTTCATCTGTGTCCGGGAAACCGCCCCTATGTGTTGTCTGTCTACACTGTATGTAGGGGTGGAACTGTAAAATGTCAATGTCTGGGTGATGAGTAATTGGTTTGGCATTTGTGTCAAATGTGCACTTCCGTGGAAGAGAATTTTGACTAACCTGTGACATGAGCTCATCTTCCTAGGAGTGATGACTCTGCTTGTCAGTGGGCTGAGGTTCACGTCTAAAGACAAACACAGTCACCACGTCATATCATTCTCAGTGGTTATAAGGAATACATAATACTTACAGTATGCAGTAAATATTCCCTCCCTCACTCACTTATTACAATTGTTATACAGACATAACAATACTGTTAACAATACTGTTACGCTACACAGACGTAGTTTTTCTTACCTCTTTGTAAAATAGAGATGTTAGATTGGGGAAGTACATCTTTGACTGTGCCTCGCCATCTCCTGTGTTACAGTTCCCACTGGGCACAGACGTCAATTCAACGTCTATTCCATGTTGGGTCAACGTAATTTCATTGAAATGATGTGGAAACAATGTTGATTCAACCAGTGTGTGCCCAGTGTAGCGGGTGATTTGGATGGAGTCAGGCGCAGGAGATGTAAATAATGGTTTATTCGGCCAATACAGCGGTTCGCAGCAATGCGTAAAACAACTACAGTGCGACTTAATGGCGCACTGGGAAAAACAAAACACACGGGTGAATATCCCGATGATAAAGTACATAATGCTCCACCAAGCTATCGACACCTCCACATGGAAACAATCACACACAAAGACATGGGGGCAGAGGAAATACTTATACAGGGACTGATGAGGGGATATGAACCAGGTGTGGGTAAAAACAAGACAAAACAAATGGAATGATAAGAAGAGGAGTGGCAGTGGCTAGAAGGCCGATCGGGGACGGCCAGGTGGACGCGGAGAAGGCCGATCCGGATGGCGACGGTGGAAATCCTGCAACAGGGAGGGATCGAGGACATCCTTCACCGGGACCCAGCATCGCTCCTCCGGACCATACCCCTCCCACTCCACGAGGTACTGAAGGCCCCACACCCAGCGTTCCACATCTCCTCCGCGCGCCGAAACCAGCCGTCCACCGCAAGAGCTTCAGTCTGGCTCTGATGCCACGGTGCCAGGACCGGCTGATACCCTAAAACACATTGACATTGTGACAGGTTAGTGGAGGAGTGGCGGAGAGAGTTCTGTGCATATTCAGCCCATGGCAAGAACACTGCCACTCCCCGGCCGGTCCTGGCAGTAGGACTGCAGGAACCTACCCATATCCTGATTCACCCGTTCCACCTGCCCATTAGATTTGGGGTGAAACCCAGAGGTCAGGCTGACCGAGACCCCTAGACGTTCCATGAACGCCTTCCAGACCCTGGACGTAAACTGGGGACACCGGTCAGACACTATGTCCTCTGGCACCCCGTAGTGCCAGAAGACGTGAGTAAACAGGGCTTCTGCAGTTTGCAGGGCTGTGGGGAGACCGGGCAGAGGAAAGAGGCGGCAGGCTTTAGAGAAGCGGTCCACAGCGACCAGGATGGTGTTGTTACCCTGAGAGAGGGGTAGATCAGTTTGGAAATCAATGGATAAGTGGGACCATGGCCGTTGTGGAACTGGTAAGGGTGTAACTTACCTGCTGGAAGGTGCCTAGGTGCCTTACTCTGGGCGCACACCGAGCAGGAGGAGACATGCACCCTCTCGTCCTTAGCCAAGGTAGGCCAACAGTACTTCCCGGTCAGGCAGCGCACTGTACGGCCGATGCCTGAGTGACCAGAGGAGGGGGACGTGTGTGCCCAATAGATAAGACGATCACGGACACTAGACGGCACGTACCGAAGTCCAGCAAGGCACTGAGGTGGAGTTGTCTCTGTGCGTAACGCCCGCTCTATGTCGGCGTCCACCACCCACACCACCGGCGCCACAATGCAGGAGGCCTGGGAGTATGGGGGTGTTGTCAATGGGCCTCTCCTCTGGGTCGTACAGCCGTGACAGTGCGTCTGCCTTCACGTACTTCGTGCCTGGTATATAGGACAGCGTGAAATCAAACCGGGTGAAGAACAGGGCCCACCTGGCCTGGCGAGGGTTCAGCCTCCTCACTGCCCAGATGTACTCCAGGTTATGGTGGTTAGTCCAGACGAAGAAAGGGTGTTTCACCCCCTCGAACCAGTACCTCCACGCTGTCAGGGCTCTGACAACAGCCAACCAACAGCTCCCGATCACCAATGTCATAGTTCTGCTCCGCCAGTTCTGCTCTGTCAGGATCGAGGGAAAGATGAACGGAGAAAAGTTAACCTGCTCTGCTCCAGAGAGCTCAGGACCTCAGACTGGGGCGAAGGCTCCCTAAGCACACAGCCAAGACAACGCAGTAGTGGCATCGGGAAAATTCTCTGAATGTCCTTGAGTGGCCCAGCCAGAGCCCGGACTTGAACCCGATTGAACATCTCTGGAGAGGCCTGAAAATAGCTGTGCAGCGACGCTCCCCATCCAACCTGACAGAGCTTGAGAGGATCCGCAGAGAAGAATACAGGTGTGCCAAGCTTGTAGTGTCATACCCAAGAAGACTTGAGGCTGTAATCGCTGCCAAAGGTGCTTCAACAAAGCACTGAGTAAAGGGTCTGAATTCTTATGTAAATGTGATATTTACATGTTTGCTTTGTCATTATGGGGTATTGTGTGTAGATTGATGAGGGGGAAAAAACACTTTAATCCATTTTAGAATAAGGCTGTAAAGTAACGAAATATGGAAAAAGTCAAGGGGTCTGAATACTTTCCAAATGCACTGTATGCACTCTCCACAAAGCCAGCCAGCCATACAAACAGCCTTCCCTCTCCCAGGCATATGCATTGTCCTAAAGCCAGCCCACTAATACCGCTAATCTGCATTTGCCTTTTAATCGGCATTGGAATAATTTTAGTAGCCTATTTTCAATTGTTGGTGTTGTGCTAGGGTATGCCATACCCTGCCGTACCCAATTGACACGCCTGCGAAGGACCAGAAGGAATGGAACAAAAAAACTGCTTCAATTAGCAAAAGCATTATGCTACATTCTGAATTATAGGCTATTCCTTGGTTACTCAACAAAACTGTCCCATGCCCACTCCAGCAATTCTGATTTGATACATTGTAGCAACTAAGGAGTTGCCAGGGCAACTAAGGAGTGGCTCCGTAAGAAGCATCTCAAGGTCCTGGAGTGGCCTAGCCAGTCTCCAGACCTGAACCCAATAGAAAATCTTTGGAGGGAGCTGAAAGTCCAGCGACAGCCCCGAAACCTGAAGGATCTGGAGAAGGTCTGTATGGAGGAGTGGGCCAAAATCCCTGCTGCAGTGTGTGCAAACGTATGATCTCTGTAATTGCAAACAAAGGTTTCTGTACCAAATATTAAGTTCTGCTTTTCTGATGTATCAAATACTTATGTCATGCAATAAAATGCAAATTAATTACTTAAATCATACAATGTGATTTTCTGGATTTTTGTTTTAGATTCCGTCTCTCACAGTTGAAGTGTACCTATGATAAAAATTACAGACCTCTACATGCTTTGTAAGTAGGAAAACCTGCAAAATCAGCAGTGTATCAAATACTTGTTCTCCCCACTGTATATACAGTACCAGTCAAAGGTTTGGACACACCTACTCATTCCAGGTTTTTCTTTAATTTTACTATTGCCTCCATTGTAGAATAATAGTGAATTCATAAAAACTATGAAATAACACATATGGAATCATGTAATAACCAAAAAAGTGTTAAACAAACCAAAATATATTTTATATTTGAGATTCCTCAAAGTAGCCACCCTTTGCCTTGATGACAGCTTTGCACACTCTTGGCATTCTCTCAACCAGCTTCATGAGGAATTATTTTCCAACAGTCTTGAAGGAGTTCCCACATATGCTGAGCACTTGTTAGCTGCTTTTCCTTCACTCTGCGTTCCAACTCATCCCAAACCATCTCAATTGGGTTGAGGTCGGGTGATTGTGGAGGCCAGGTCATCTGATGCAGCACTCTATCACTCTCCTTCTTGGTCAAATAGCCCTTACACAGCCTGGAGGTGTGTTTTGGGTCATTGTCCTTTTGAAAAACAAATGATAGTCCTACTAAGCGCAAACCAGATGGGATGGCGTATCGCTGCAGAATGCTGTGGTAGCCATGCTGGTTAAGTGTGCCTTAAATTCTAAATAAATCACTGACAGTGTCACCAGCAAAGCACCCCCACAACACCTCCTCCTCCACACATGTGGAGATCATCCGTTCACCTACTCTGCATCTCACAAAGACACGGCGGTTGGAACCAAAAATCTCAAATTTGGACTCATCAGACAAAATGACATATTTCTACCGGTCTAATGTCTATTGCTCATGTTTCTTGGCCCAAGCAAGTCTCTTCTTATTATTGGTGTCCTTTAGTAGTGATTTCTTTGCAGCAATTCGACCATGAAGTCCTGATTCACACAGTCTCCTCTGAACAGCTGATGTTTAGATGTGTCTGTTACTTGAACTCTGTGAAGCATTTATTTGGGCTGCAATCTGAGGTTGCAGTTAACTCTAATGAACTTATCCTCTGCAGCAGAGGTAACTCTGGGTCTTCCTTTCCTGTGGCGGTCCTCATGAGAGCCAGTTTCATCATAGCGCTTGATGTTTTTTGCGACTGCACTTGAAGAAACTTTCAAAGTTCATGAAATGTTCCTTATTGACTGACCTTCATGTCTTAAAGTAATGATGGACTGTCATTTCTCTTTGCATATTTGAGCTCTTCTTGCCATAATATGGACATGGTCTTTTACCAAATAGGGCTATCTTCTGTCTACCAAACCTACCTTGTCACAACACAACTGATTGGTTCACACGCTTTAAGAAGGAAAGAAATTCCACAAATTAACTTTTAACAACGCACACGTGTTAATTGAAATGCATTCCAGGTGACTACCTCATGAAGCTGGTTGAGAGAATGCCAAGGGTGTGCAAAGCTGTCATCAAAAACATGGGTAGTGTTCAAAAATGTAAATAAGTATTCTGCAAGGTTTTTCAAAAAATCTATCACAGATTTGCATTCATTGAACAAGTGAGTCAGATTTTCACCTTCTTTTTCGCAGATATCATCAATATCAACAAATTTGGACAACATAGAATTACATGGATATTTCTTATGTAGAATCTTAAAGTGCACTTCCTTAAATTTGTTTGGGATACAATATTATTAAGGCATCAACCAAGCTTTTTTCCAGACAATGTCAGGAATAAGCATTTTCCAGAATGTCTTTCCCCTAGGCATAAATTGGTTCCGTGAATGGAAAATGTGTCATATGTATTTGTTACAATAAGATTTCTCAAGTAAGCCCACGCGTTCCAAGCTGAGTTCTGGATAAGCTCTGTGATCATCACCAAAGCTAAGATTAGTTTACATTTGTGTAGTTAGACCACTGGGAATGGCTTAGATCACAGAAATAAACTATCTGAAAGGTATTAGAAACTTATAAATTGTTCATATGAAAGAATATTACCCCTGTTGTCGAAAACATCAAGAACAAAGTCAATATTCCTCTCATGCCAGCTAGGGTAGAACAATGACTTATTCCTTACAGTTATTATTCCACAAAAGAGGTTTATGTGAGGAAGAATTTGTCACGCCCTGGCTCTAGGGGACACTGTTATGTTGAGCCAGGGTGTGTAATTCTATGTTTGTATTTCTATGTTGGCCTGAGTGACTCCCAATCAGAGGCAACGAGTGTCAGCTGGTTGTCTCTGATTGGGAGCCATATTTAACTGTCTGTCTTTCACTTTGTGTTTGTGGTTTCTTGTTCTATTTTGGTTTGTGTTCAACCGTAGACATCACGTTTTCGTCTGTTGTTTTGATCGTGTGATCATTCTAATAAATATAATGTTCGCATTCAACGCTGCGCCTTGGTCTCTCCCTGACGATCGTGACAGAAGAAACCACCAGAACTGGACCAAGCAGCCTAGTGAGGAGCAGAGTGGGTGGACTTGGCAACAGTGGAGGCAGAGCTTCGACTGGGTCAAGCCGAATGAGGAGCTGAATGGCGGAGATTGGAAGCAGAAGAGCGAGAGTTGGGCGAGAATTATCGAGGCCTGGCCCACGGGGAAGAGAGACTCCCAGAAAATTTTTAGGGGGGGGCTCACGACGTCGGACCAGCAGGAGGCCGCGATAGAGCGGTCCAGCGGGTTGCCAGAGGAGACCGCCAGGTTACGGGGGCCACTGGTCGAAGAGGGGATGGAGGATGTAGAGGCACGGCGAGAGGTACTGGCGTGTGTTGCCAGTCCGGTCCGGCCCGTTCCAGATCCCGGTGTAGGGCCAGTGGTGTGTGTCCCCAGTACGGTCCGGTCCATTCCTGCTCCCCGCACCAAGTCAGTGGTGCGTTTCGTCAGCCCTGTCCGGCCCGGTCCTGCTCTCCGCACCAAGTCTGTGGTGCGCGTCGCCAGCCCAGTCCGGCCCATTCCTGCTCCCCGCACCAAGTCTGTGGTGCGTTTCGTCAGCCCTGTCCGGCCCGTTCCTGCTCTCCGCACCAAGTCTGTGGTGCGCGTCGCCAGCCCAGTCCGGCCCATTCCTGCTCCCCGCACCAAGTCTGTGGTGCGTTTCGTCAGCCCGGCTCGGTCCGCTCCTGCTCCCCACACCAAGCCAGTGGTGTGCGTCGTCGGTCCGGCACGGCCCGTGCCTGTTCCACTGGTGCCTGGTCCGGCACCGGTCAGATGCGTTACGCCGGAGCTAGAGCAATCCGCTCCATCAGTGTGCAGTCCAGCTCCGGCCAGCGGGGCCAGACCGGACCAGGGGTACTTTGGGGGGTTGGAGAGGGAGTGGGGATCAGGCCCGGAGCCGGATCCGCCGCCAAGGCGGAGTGCCCACCCGGTCCCTCCCCTGTGGTATTTAGTTGGCGCGGTCGGAGTCCGCGCCTTTAGGGGGGGGTACTGTCACGCCCTGGCTCTGGGGACACTGTTATGTTGAGCCAGGGTGTGTAATTCTATGTTTGTATTTCTATGTTGGCCTGAGTGACTCCCAATCAGAGGCAACGAGTGTCAGCTGGTTGTCTCTGATTGGGAGCCATATTTAACTGTCTGTCTTTCACTTTGTGTTTGTGGTTTCTTGTTCTATTTTGGTTTGTGTTCAACCGTAGACATCACGTTTTCGTCTGTTGTTTTGATCGTGTGATCATTCTAATAAATATAATGTTCGCATTCAACGCTGCGCCTTGGTCTCTCCCTGACGATCGTGACAGAATTGTGCAGGAAACATATTTTCCAGGACATTAAAGCTTGTTGGTGAAACCTAGCCAATTTCGCAGGTAATCTTTCAGGAATATAATTCCATTTCAGTAAAAATGTAAGACCTCCCAATTTATTAAACACATTTTTTGGAATGAAATACCACAGTGATTCTGTATTGCCCAATCATCTTTTCAACCATTTGATCTTGAAAGTGTTATTTAAACTTCCCAACCTTTTATTTGAGAGGACTGACTTTTTTAGTTTGTGAGACTTTCCAGATGAAGTCAAGAAAGGTCTTGTTGATCTCTTTACAGGTAGAGAGATTTACAAATAAAGATAATGAGGGGTGCACAAAGTAAGACAGTCCCTCTGCCTTGGACAGAAAAACTCTCCCAAGTATAGAAAGATCCCTTTGTAGTCAATTCTTAAATATATGATTGTTTTTCTTAATTTTAGGAGAGAAATTCATATGTTGTCTGACTACGTGTTTTTTTGATAGATGTATTCCTAAATATTTAACACAGTCCTTTACAGGAATATTTTCTATTTCTTTATCATCAGAGTCATATAAACATAAGATTTCACATTTAGAAACGTTCTGTTTGAATCCAGATGCAATAGAGAACGCAGTGATAACATTAAGGGCATGGGCGACCTGGTCTTTAAAAAAAAGAGTAGTATCGTCAGCCAGTTGGGAAGTTTTAATTTCTCTGTTAAAAATGGATAAACCATGCAGATTTGCATTATTCAGAATATCTAGAGTTAGAAGTTCCGCAACCAAAATGAATAAAAAGGGCAAAATTGGGCATCCCTGTTGTACACTTCTGTTGATACTGAATCTTTTGGATGTATTAATGTTTAGTATCACAGAACTATTTATATCTTTGTAAAACATGTGAATGACTTTGATAATATTTTCACCGAAACCAAAAAGTTTAAGAGACCGAAAGAGAAATTCATGTTCAATTGTGTCAAAGGCTTTACAGAAGTCCCAATATAAAACAACAGCATCTGAGTCAATTGCATCTGAATAATCTAAAAGGTCCAAGACTAAACGAATGTTGGAATTTATGTGATGGCCCTTCATAAATCCTGTTTGAGTCTCATTTATAATGGGATCTATTCATTTCTTTAATATTTTGGCATAAACCAGAGCAATCAATTTGTAATCAATATTTACTAAAGTAATTGGTCTCCAATTGTCAATGAGAGAAGGGTCTTTATCAAGCTTCGGAATCAGTGAAATAAGGCCCTGTTTCATAGTGGAGACCATTTCACCATTTTCAATGCAATCTTGAAACAAATGAAAAATAGAGTGTTCTAGTAACTGTCACATTTGCTCCTGCAACACCCTCTACTGCTCATCCTGTGTCTCCTGGACCTGCCACCACTCCCCCAGTACTCTCTCTCTCTGTGTGATTGTGTGGGCAGAGACAGGTGTGTTGGAGTTAGAGCAGATCCCCACCAGCTGCAACCTGTTCCATAATCAAGACCTCTACAAATACTCAGTCCTGCCACTTCCACATCGTAATCTCTGCTCAGTCAGTCTACGGTTCTAGCCGTGTGTTACTGTTCAGATCCTGTTGTTTACGTTGACATTTTAGTCATTTAGCAGATGCTCTTATCCAGAGCGACTTACAGTTAATGAGTGCATACATTTTTCATACTGGCCCCCCGTGGGAATCGAACCCACAACCCTGGCGTTGCAAGCGCAATGCTCTACCAACTGAGCTACAGGAGGCCCTGGTGTGCATGTTTTCCTTGCCTGATGCTGTTTTCCTTCTCGCTACAATTCTGCCCGCTCTGACTCTGGTCCCTGTCTCCAGTCCCACGTCACGTCATCCTACTACTCTGTCCTGGATCCCCCACTCTACTACTCTCTTGGATTCCCCTCTGGACCTGCTCACCCTGTCTCAACCCCCCTCGCTCCAGCCGCAGCCTCTGCACCTGGTTTCCAGCAGTTTCCCCTGACCTGCACTCCATCTCCCCCCTGCGTCTCAATAAATACCTTGGTTACTTCATCCCAGTCTCCTCGTCTGAGTCTGTTCTTGGGTTCCCCTGTTCCACTCCGCGTAACAGTAACTCCCAAAACTGCCTATAGAATTCAACTGACAGGCCATCAGGGCCAGGTGATTTCCCTTTTTTCATAGAATTCAGAGCCTCTCTAACTTTGATTGACACAAGTGAATCGCAAACTGAGTGGAAATCATCCTCAATTACAGGGACATAATTCTGAATGTGGAAAATGTAGCTTTCACAACAATCTCCCTGAAATTGTGAGTTGTAAAGGTTTTCATGAAAGGAGTTGACAAATGTTGATATTGTAATGGGATCTTTGCAGAATACATCATTAAGTTTGAGTGCCGTTATAGATTTTATTTTGTAGTTTCTGTTTTCAAGTGCAAAGAAATAACTGGTGTTTCTTTCCCCCTCTTCAATCCATTTCGCTCTTGATCTGACGAAGGCGCCCTTTGACAGATCTGTGTAAAACTGTTCTAATTCTAGTTGTAAAGATGTAAATAATTTAATACATTTCTATAGCGCTTTTCATTACAATTTCAAACCCCTTCAAAGGCTAAAAACAAACAAGCAATACATCATTATGAGTTGCCTAACTATAGTTAGTTCAACCAATAGAGGCCAAGTCTTTGAGTGCAGGCATCCTCCAAAGATGGAGAGGGACAGTTCATGGCTTGATCAGAGGAAGGTGGTCAGGGAGATGGTTGATGAAGAGTCTGGTGACGATCATGTAGAGGCTTACTCTGGGAACAAGCCTGAGTCGTGTAGCTACTCGACTTCTCCTCTTTCACAATGTATGGCACCCACTTGGGTGATGCCTCAGCAGCTCTGGGTGCCAGAAAGCTCACCACACACAGTTCAGAGTAGTAGCCAGTTGAGTCCTCACTACGAGGCCTCTGCCTCAGCACTGCATTTCTACTGCATCTCCCAGTTTCAGGTGACTCTTCAATTTATGTTTTCAAAAGACCAGGAACCAGCAGCCAGGTGAAACAAAAAAGCTGGTACAGTGTCCAGATGCATCATTCCAACAAAAACAATTTGCCAGCTAGCTAGTCAAGCCAAAAGGATTTGCCTGCCAGTCCATCTGCAAATCGGGTCAAAACCACCAGAAATATACAGTATGGCAAATCCTCAACACTTAGCTACCTCTTCCAAATCAAATGAGCTCGAAAGAAATAAGTGAAAAATGACCAGTGGCAGTTTTAGCATGTAAATCTTGGTGGGGCAAACTCACCCAATTCTTTTTTTTATGCCAGCAAAGCCAATACACAACACAACATTAAACAATACATAAATTGCACTATAACGGTGACAAACGGTGCCCACAAACTGTTAGGGCCTACATAAAGCTGTCCCAACAGCAGAGCTTTCCTTTCAGCACCATGGAGGGAATCCTTACCACTGCTACACCTGGCTATCAGCAGAGCCTTGTCTAGCAGAGAAACTGTTCATTCAGCCTCATTTACCTGGGGCGGCAGGTAGCTCAGTGGTTAAGAGTGTTGTGCCAGTAACTGAAAGGTTGCTGGTTCTAATCCCCGAGCCAACTAGGTGAAAAATCTGTTGATGTGCCCTTGAGCAAGGCACTTAACCCTAATTGCTCTGGATAAGAGCGTCTGCTACATGACAAAAATGTAAATGTACTGCCTTTTAAAAAAACATAGCTGATATTGTGACTTGCTAAAACAAATATGACTTCTACTGACAATTGAGATGTACAAATTATGGCATAAGGGAACGATGAGCTGATAAGAGGCAATCCATAATTTTGATTAAGACATTAATGAGCGAGCTAGGATGGATGTAGTCAATATAACTATTTGTTCAGCACTTTTAAAATGTACAGTGACAGAATTCAGAACATGGGCCATTCTTACAGTATTCTCCCTGTACACCAAGTCAGAACCGTAGTATAAATAAGGGGGCATATAAGCAGACAATGAAAGCTCTTACAATATTCGATGATTACATTTCTCTCAAACAGGCTATTGGTTACATGTGCACCACCAAGTCTGAACAGTAGGCGAAATTAAGATGGGAAAATAGACCAAATTATTAGGGTGAGGCACATGGGCTACTAACAGCTTACTACACAACATACACTTAGTATTACTTTCTTAGCTACAGTATACATATCTTCCAGGCCTATTACATAATTTATGCAGCAGCATACAATACATTTATGGACTCACCTTGTTGTGCTGGGCTCAGGAAGGTGCCGCTGCGATCCATCTTGTCATCAAACTTTGTCATCAAAATCTGGCATTCTCTGGATTTATGGTGCTTTCAAGACAACTGGGAACTCTGAAAAAAACAAGGTTGAATCATGATGTCAGTGATCTTCAGGTCAGAGCTCTAGAAAAAGGCCAGAGTTCCCGACTTGGAATTCCGAATCGGATGACCGTTCAAAACGTATTTTCCCAGTCGGAGCACGTTTCTTCAGAGTTCCCAGTTCTCTTGAACTCACTGAAGTCTGAGATTTCCCAGTTCTGAGTTTCCAGTTGTTTTGAACGCGGCAGAAGTCTTGCTGGCCAAAGTATTCAACCTTTTCTGGCCCATGGTGTGTTGCGAGTGAATGTTTATCCTTTTAAGCTTGGAAAAGAGACCCTTAAATCCAAACATGGACCACACACCCTCTCCATTGAATAGCAGGCTAGTGATTGCTTTGCAAAGCTTGCAGTTAGTCCACTGATTCTTTCGAAACCACTCATTGTTGAATTTCCAAATTGTTGTGTAGTGTTTATGTCCAATGGCCGATGAGCACCAATACGTTTTATCTATAATTTCTCTTCATATGACAAGGATTGAAAAGGATTTGCCAGTAGATGTCGACTTGATTCATGATGATGACTGCTTGTCTAACTTGCTAGCTAAGATTTTGAAAGTATGATGTTGACATGATTAGTCCAATCAAAGCTACTGTAGATATTACGTGATTTGACATCATTTTATCTGTGGCCAATGACCTTCTTGTATGGGCACTTCTAATGTAAATCTATGGCAGCACACCCAAGGGGATATAATTTTTTTGCTCTCCCTGTAGATTTTCTGGTGACGTAGTGTCCCCATGAGTGACAGAACACTGAGCCAATCACAGCGCAACTAGAGAACATTACCAACCTCTAAGCTCCGTATTTTCCACTGGCTGCCCCACCACCACAGAAAGTACTGAGCTTGGCTGAAACAACTGCATTTTGGAGCTGCCTTACTCAAGAAAGCAAAAAAGAGACCATGTTTGTTTGCGGCTTTATTAACTCAATTATAATTTTTGGGACATTGTTTGCAAACTGATATGGGACACCTATTAATGCCAAAATAACATGCAAAACAGGGAGAGAAAAGAATAATCATATATATATATATATATATATATATATATATATTTTTTTTAGCTAAACAGGTGGGGCTCAAAACAGGTGCCCTGAATGATGGGTCAACAATGATAATGACAACCTTTGTATTGTTTTGTGTGACTAAAGCGGCAGCGATAAAACGCAAAAATAGAGACACATTCTTCTGCGTTTAGACGAGGGACGCAAGCACCGTCACACCAGTCGGTGATGGCAAAAGCAAGCCAGCACGACGGTATGCGTTGCTACATTGATTTCAGTAAACATTTCGTCCTCCATGTTGTCTGGATGAAAAATCAACATCCGGTTAATCTTCAACACAATGACAGACAGCAAAAATTGAAATATTTTAACTCTAGCGGCAAGTCCCGTCTACCGTGGCGGTTGACGGCATTCACCTCCAGCCTCAACGGCATTTACCGTCGTGCTCTGATTGAAAACAATGACATCCGGTTTGCCTACGGTCGTACCATCGAAACGCAGCTAGGTGTCAAAGGCATCAGGTAGCCTAGCGGTTAAGATCGTTGGGCCAATAACCGAAAGGCCGCTGATTCGAATCCCCCCAACAACACCTGCTCCCCTGGGCACCGATGACATGGACGTCAATTAAGACAGCCCCCCACACCTCTCTGATTTATAGGGGTTTGGTTAAATGTGGAAGGCACATTCTGGTTGAATGCATTCAGTTGTGCAACTGACTAGGTTTCCCCTTCCCAAAAGTGGACAACCTGGCTTCAGTTTCAAAACAATGCATTCTTAAATAAATCACATACTTGCCTTTGATGAGTTTAGGTTAGGGGTGAAAAAACAGCCTGCTGCAACCTGATTGGATGAATGCAATACGCAACATCCGGGACTAGCATTTAGCCCTTCTAACATGGTGGTGGAAATTGGTGTTTCATAAAGAAATAATGTATATTTTCCCCTTTTTTTTTTTTGCCTTGTCGCCATTATATTGAGTTAAGAATGAAATCGAAGACTTTGCAGCCAGAATGGAGAGCGTTTTGAGTACGAACCAGTTGCCAGGGGACAGGAGTGTATTACCAGCTGGGCACATTAAAGGAAAACTCCATCCATCTTTTGGGACTATGTCAACAATGGACTAATGAAACAAATACCAAAAGATAGTTTTTGGGTGGAATTTTCCTTCAAGCCCAGACGATCGGACATCCATAGCACCCACTAGCGGCTGCCCAGGCTAAGTACAGACTAGAGTTTTTTTAATGAAGCTCCAATGCTTTCAAGTTGCTAGCAGTCGTTACTTCAAAAATGTTAATTATTAAACCCTCACCGTGTACCTATGTTTGTCCTCTGTTGTGGCTTGCCTTTCTTTGTTTGCTGAAATCCATACTTTTAATGACCAAATGTCATACTTATACTTACTTATATAATATAAACGTTAATCAAATACAACCACGGACTGTTTCCTCATTGCTAACTTAACGTAGCAGGCGTAAAAAGACGCCTGAGCAGAGTCCCCACATCTGTTTTTCAGGGGAAACGGAAGTTAGGTTGAAAACCGGAAACATCTGCTTTCTTCCGTCCCCGCAGAGAGTGCCGTATTGCTGTTGCTCTAAGATGGCAACTCAGTGCGAACGCTCATGTGCCAATTGAATCTCATCAAGGAAACCATCAGTGGTTCTATTTTGACTAACGTTTCATTAAAAAGCATGGATTTCAGCAAACAAAGAAAGGCATTCAACAACAGAAAGCAAATATAGGTACACGGTGAGGGTTTAAGAATTTACATTTTTGAAGTATCAACTGCTATCGACTCGAAAAAGTCGGAGCTTAAATTCGTGGAGTTGAGATCTTGGCTATATATACCCCATGACCCATGACAAACACATTGCAACACAATTATTATAAGTTAGTAAAGTTTGAAGTCTTTATTGAAATACCAGCCATTTGCGATGCTGTACAATGGAATTGAGAGAAATGATCAAGCTGGTGCGGAGTAACAGGTCAAAATAGGCGAGATAATTAAAATATTTTAGGAATGTCACAGTATATTGTAACTGAAATGTCTGAATCCAACTAGATTTTGCAACATAGCCTACTGTCACTCTTTCTCTTGGCTTGTTTTCCTGAAAGCTGGGTATCCCAATTCCAACCACGGTCAAATATGCAACTCACACACACTCATAAGAAACTATAGAAGACATATCAAGCAAGTCCTACGAACTGAGAAAGTGAATGCTTGTGCGCAAGGTGGCAGGTAGCCATGGATGACTTTACTGTAATGAAGGTGTACATAATACAGGCCTTATATTAAAGGTCCAATGCTGCCGTTTTTATCTCAATATCAAATCATTTCTGGGTAACAATTAAGTACCTTTTACTGTGATTATTTTAAATGAAAATGGTCAAAAAGAAACAAAAATAGCTTCTTAGCAAAGAGCAATTTCTCAAGCAAGAATTTTGCTAGGACTGTCTTGGAGTGATCTGAGTGGGGAGGGGGAAAACTGAAAACTAGCTGTTATTGGCAGAGAGGTTTGGAACTCTCTTTCTTATTGGTCCATTAACTAATTCACCAGGCAGGCCAAAACGCCATCCCACCAAAACAGGCTGAAATTTCAGGTGTTTTTTTCACCAAACAGCTCTTACAATAAAAGGGCATTATCATCATTTTCACAATTTCACAGTATTATTCCAACCTCATAGTGTGGAAATATATATAAACCACAGGCAATAACGGTTTTGACTGCACTGGGACTTTAAACTCATCCATGGTTAGGTGGCAGTAAAGTTTGAATGTTGCATCTCTGGTTATACTATAAATATATACATTTCTGTGGCAGTGGAGACATGTTTAGCACTATGATTGAGGACAATATTACCTCCTCTTTAATCTATTACCCAAACTAAACTCAACAATGTTGCATACATACATACAGTACAGTACATCATGTAGGACGTAAACAGTTAAGAATTATATATATTTTAAAATCAAAATCTTGACAGGCTTTGAAAATTGATTAGAGAAACCAAAAATATATAATTAGGAGAATCATCCATTTTAAAGACAGTAAAAAACAAGTTAATAGCCTAATAATCTACAGATTTGTTTTTCATACATTTTAATCAGGTAAAATAAGTAATATTTATTTTCTAGTTCTCAAAACTGTAACGAAACCATAGATGAGAGTGAAAGATAGTAGGAAGAAAAGTGAATAGTTCTGTTCAGTTGAGGAAATTGAATCAACACATGATTACAATACTCATTAATTCTGTCTTTAAAAACAGACACACTCCAGTGCAACAGTAGAATGTCCTCTGGCTATGCCAAGGCTAAATGATATGTAAACGTTCTCTGTTTTTGGTTGTTTCTGCAGGTCAGTCCTTTGAAGAGTCTGTGTGACCTCATCAGTCTCACCCTACTGTACATGCAGATGCTTAGAGTCCTACTTGCTGAGGTAAAACTATTATGTTTGTTGGAAGATGTCCCTTCTCTGGTCCCATCATGACTTCAACAGAGAAAAGTGATATATTCCAGTTTTTCCAAGCAGCGATTTATGGTATTGATATATAAACTGGATCTGGGACCCACGTGGTACAGTACAGTAGCTTTGCACAGAACAGTGCGGGGCCTTGAGGGTGAGATCTATCGCTCTGACTTGACCTTGTAGCGCAGCACCAGGTAGGTGGCGAATCGGAGGATCACGAAGAAGATCCCCAGAACGATGAAGTCCATGTAGAGCTTGGCGTCCTCCACGTCCAACAGTTGGAGGACCTCCTCAGGCTTCTGGAACTTACACACTTTCCCCGGACAATACAGATAGGTACGGTTCATCCCGTATATGGACAGGATCACCCCCTCAAAGCCGTACCTGGGAGACAACACAGACTAATTGGTCTAAAATCTAGATGAAACCAGACGACTGGTACCTGCATTGTTATTATTTACAGGTCAATACAATGCAAAGATGCATTGGGACATTTGACCCCCTCTCTCTTTTCATATTTTATTGAGATAAACAGGCATGAAGTGAGCAGTAGAGACAGTTATAGGTAGAAGACGTAAAGCGTTGGACTCCGGGGTCGAACCTCCACCGCTAGTGGTCATGTCATGTGTAGTTCAAGGTCAGCAGCGCTACCACTAGACCAGACTCCAGCACAAGTGGGACATACCTGACGTAGGACACATAGGAGCTCCACTGCAGGTACTTGGGAATGGTGTCAAAGTTGACGAAGAAGCCCGAGAAGAGAAGGACAGGGATGGCAGTGACGGGGCCGACGAAAGTGGCTACCTGTGGAAAGATAGGCAGGGAGAGGGGCTAATGGTCTGTACACATTGCAAGCGACAAGTCATTTAATGGTGCTCGTGGACAAAAAGTAGATCCGGCTGTTCATGCAAACAGATGGCAAATTAAGTCATTACGTTGTTTAGGTTGCGCTAGGGTAGGAAAATGCTGTGTGTACAGACTAGGAGACGCACACCCATGAAGGCTACATGTGCCATTGCAAAGTGTTAAGAAAATTAGCTAGATGGTGAAACATTAGCATTAGTTAGCGTTTAGTTAGATCCAGCAGGTACCTGGAGGTTGGTGGAGGCAGCACCAACCAGGATCCCTAGTGACTGGGCTACCAGGGCCGTGCAGATGGACAGGGCAAGGAAGAGCAAGAAGCGGGTGGCCTCCGGAGGCTGATCTGTCATCCAGTACACTATACTGCAGTACATGATGGGGCAGAGGACCTGGGGAAGAGAGGGCCGTACTATACATAAACACTGGGTGGCACTGCTGTATCTATGTTGTATTATGCTGTTGGGTTCTCTGAGACACACACACACACACACACACATTCTGCTGTGTGCCTGCTTTGTTTGGATGACCAACTCACCTGGAATGGCATGTCAGCCATGGTCTTAGCCAGATAGTAAGCCTTCAGGCTGTACCAGTAGTTTAGATGTTCCCTCAGAAAAACTGACATCTCCAGAGGAACTGCAGGTCAGACATTAAGAAACAGCAAACAATAATTAAACAGTCTGCCTTCTTTAATATACTTACCAATGTCATGGATCCTAGGGGATCCCTGGGAAACAATGATGTTTGTTGCTGAATGGACTATCCAATGGACTACCCTGACTAAATAAATAAAGATTAATTGACATTGGTTTTAGTTAGCCTAGCAGAGTTAACAAACGCTTGTGTGACCCTTCAGGGTAAGCTAGCTTGTTTAAACCTAGAGTTAATGATAGCCCTAGGGTCTAGGCTAAGAACATGCATTGTGAAAAGGCTTACAGAAACAGAAAACATATTGGTTGCATCCCAAATGGCTCTATTCTATTCTATTATCTATATAGTGCACTACTTTTGACCAGGGAATAGGGTGCCATTTAAGGACAAAACCATTGACTGCAAAGTTCGTACACCCTTTGAATGCATATAAGCCTAACAATACTGATTAATGAACAAGTCCCCCTCACAATTCTGTCAACTCACATGTGAGCACGGTGGGCATCAGAGCTCCGAACATGAGGAAGAGCATGGAGAAGAAGAGGAAGCCGGTGTTGTTGAAGACCTTGCTGGCATCGTTGCCGATGTTCAAGTAGAGCAAGCCGATCAGTATTCCTATAGAGATGTGTGACATCAGCCTTAGGTGTGTCAACACCTGAAACAGAAATGCTCACAATGACTAACGGCATGGACGCCCTCCTCTCCTATACAATTCACTCATCCTCATGTCACTGATGTATGTATAGGGCAGGTTTAAAAGCATGCTCAATGGAGAATCTCATTTAAAAGTGCCTTTTCCACTAATCCATGGCTAGGCTTAAAACTAGCCCAACAAGTTGATGTTTACATGCATGCTATTGCAACCTGTTAGCACCCAGCTACCCGAGGACCCCCTTGTAATTCTACTCACATACCTGGTCTCGACATATTGTTATCAACGTTCTATTGAAGAGAATGCAAAACTGTGTCAAAGTGCTTGTGGCAAATGAATGGCTCTCAATGGCTCCTGAGTCCTGTGAAAAGAGACAGACGGGGGCATGTCAAGACAAAACAGAGTGCCACTGTTTAAAGTCTGCGTGTGAGTGTGTGTGTGTGTGTGTGTGTGTGTGTGTGTGTGTGTGTGTGTGTGTGTGTGTGTGTGTGTGTGTATGTGTGTGTCAGTGAATGGGGCTTATTCCTTAGTGATTCTCAGTTGTATGTAACATTAGTACTCACCTTGAGGCACTTTGTTGGACAAACAGCTGATGTGTCTTTTTTGTCACATGAGTAATTTTTCTCCTCTATGGCACACATTCCACCCTGGACCGCCTCAAACAGAACACTATTCCAATCTCCATACTCCCCTGATGCCACTTCGATGACTGGGACAGAGAAAATCCCGTTAACAATTTCTATGAATACCCTCTTACTAAAATACATTATGCATAGCTAATAAGGCAATATAACTGCATTTTTAAGGCATTATGAAGAGGGTATTAACAAAACATGGTCTGCAATGTGGGGCAAAACACAAACAAAGATATTTAACTGATATTAAGTATGTGTGCTCTGTTCTGAGGTCCCATTGAACTCACTGAAATCTGCCGGGTTGTGGTAGGTGGGGCAGTGGAGCCCTAGGTTCTTCAGATAGGGGATGAGGTATGGGACGGTGCCTTTGTATATGCACTGGCCCTGACTCAGTATGTACAGCTGTGGAAGGACAAGACAACACATCAGGTGGAGAGAAAGACACAGCTGGTCCGTGGGTGGGGACCTGAGTTTTTCCTGATCACGTGACCCTACCAGAAAAAACTCAGGGCTTTTATAGAATACAGCTAGGGGGGCCTGGAATTCTTCTGGTCTGGTCGGGTTACGTGGTTAGGAAAAACTCCTCCCTACACCCAGGGGACAACTGCCACGGCTCTGTATTGTCTCTCATTGTTAATGTGTTGTCTAATCATTTGATGGATTGAAGTGGACAGAGAGGGGCCTGTTTGTACCTTATCAAACATCTCAAAGAGCTTGGCGCTGGGCTGGTGGATGGTGCAGATGATGGTGCGTCCCCCCAGGGCTAGAGATTTCATGAGGGAAACCACTTGGTAACAGGAAGCACTGTCCAGACCACTGGAAACAACAGGAGAGGGTTAGGGAAGCAGGACCAGCAGGATACCGGTAGATGAGAAACAACCTCTATTTCAAACGAATATGGAATGTACTGTATAACACTACGGGTTTATGTCCAATTTACTCAAGCCCCAAAACTCAGGCTACTGATGGCTAAAAAAATTCAATTTAATTCAATTCCATACAACTTTATTCACCCTTGAGGGGCAGTTAGAAAGGCGCTTTCAGTGCATGGCTACATTTCACATATTCTGTAGGAGCAAGAGGGATTTGATCCATGGTAGAGGTGGAGGTCATGTTACGTCATCAGTAGTGTCACGCCTACTCCCGCTGCCCTTCTCCAGCGCTCGACGTCGCCGGTCTACTAACCAGTGGTCCTGGCACCATCGTTACGCACACCTGGACCTCATCATCACCTTGATTACTCTCCCTTTATTTAGCCCTCAGTAGCCTCAGTCATTAGGCAGTATTGGTTTTGTTCACGTTCAGTACGCTTCTCCTGTTTGGTTTATCTGCCTTCGCTTATCATTAAACGTACCTTCTGCACCTGCTTCCTGACTCCAAGCGCATACGTTACAAGTATGACCAGGAGTTTTTCCTCCAGGCCCTGTTATCTCAAATGGACTGAAATCTTGATATCTGAAAGCCCTCCAGGACTTAGATCAAGTAACACTGCCACAATACACCACCAACAAGAATGTACAAGGGCGTATCTTGTCCCATAGTTGACGGATCAGGTGGACATGGTGAGCCTCTTACCTGGTTGGCTCGTCAAAGAACATGACTGGGGGGTTGTTGACTAGCTCAAGGGCGATTGCCAGCCGTTTACACTGCCCCCCAGATAGGGAGCTGGTGCGGGTGTGAGCACACTCCTGGAGCCCTAGAGCAGTCAGGATCTCATTCACCTACACACACACGCACGCACAAACACGCACCCACACACACACATTTTCTACCATTAGTAGGTAAACACAAATCACAGTCGTATGTATAATTTCACACATCTGCAAGTTGTTAATTTCTGTCCAACTCACCAGTTCTTTTTTCACTTCCATATTTTCACTGAGCTTCAAGTTGGCCGAAACCTGAAACAACATCAAATCCATAGAATACAGTAATTTAGCTACGTTTTAGTCATGACAATGTACGATATCCACTGCAAATGTACGATTTCCACTATTCACCCTGCAGTACATCCAGTGGATGGCAGCAGTCACCACTTTCTTCTACACCTCACATTAGTCCATCATTACTGCATAATAACAAACCATAAACAAACAACCTATTCTCCCAATAAGAACATGTGTCTGGGTGATGTTCATTAGGCACCAAACGGAAGAAAACGGACTGAAACAGGGAGGGACTACCTAGATTTGTCCAATAATGATTTTTGTTTTCAGTTTTAAAAAAATTAAAAAATGTTTTCCACTGTGTGCCCTAATGAACACGACCCTGTTCTCTCACCATCATGGCCTCCCGGACAGTGAGGTGCGGCAGAAGCATGTCATCCTGCATGATATAACAGGACATCTTACGAAACGTGCGGAGATCTCTGGGTTTCCCATTCACCAGGATCTTCCCTTTCATGCCTGTTTCCCTAAGGAGGACACACAGGAGTGGAGAATGAATTAATACAAACATATTAATTTGACTACTCCTGGTGCAGTGACATGATGATTGATCATAAACACATTGATTAAATTCCATCAAACCCACATGATCATACTTTTATTTCCACTGTGGCTCTTTTCCCATGGTCAAACACATCACACAATTATTTAAAACATCCCAAAATGGTTTTGGGTACTGTGAAAACATACTACTAGGTACTAGATCTTCCTCACAGTTACTGTAGATGCTTCCAGTTTTTTACAACAATAATGTTATGTGTGGAGGCAGAAGTTTGTAAACAAAGACAATGAGTTAACATTCCAATCACATCTATTTGGGACGAGGTGTTCGTTGAAAATGGGGACCCCTGCCTCAACCCTTTACCCTGTTACACCTATCTCCCTCTCCTTTCTGATATATCTGAATAAAACGTTCAAATATACGTACGGTAGAGTGGTCTTCCATTCTCCTTTAAAACAAAAAACTACGCAAAAGAATGATAGCAGCCCTCTCACCTGTAGCCAGCCAGGATGTTCATCAGAGTTGACTTGCCAGCCCCTGAGGGTCCCATGATTCCAATCAGCTCTCGGCTGCAGAACCTCCCCGACAGGCACTTAAGTAAGGCTTTAAAACCTGGAAAAATACCAAACACTTAGAAAATCCCTCAGAGAGATCAGCGAGATTGTATTGTGTAAGGAATAGGTCCATCTATGTCACAAATGGTATGAGTTAATGCACTAACAAGTCAATTAATTTCAGTAATAGATCAAGTAGATTTAAATACAGACTGGCCTAAATACAAGAGCAGAGTCAGTACTTTTTCTATTGATTTCTATTTTCTATTGATTTTTCTATTGAAAAAAGACAGATGGAGTTAGAGAGAGAGAGAGAGAGAGAGAGAAAGAGAAAGAGAGAGTGGTGGAGGAAGGATAAATGCTGAGAAGAAAGCTCCCCAGAGCTTTGAGGCGCCTAACAATGGAATTGTAGTCAGCACTGTATCAAGTCTATCAACTGCTCCATGGCCCCATACACACTTAGGTCGTACAACTGATGTACAACGCATTTGACATGAATGGTTGTGATACAACTGATATTGTTGTGATACAACGGAAACTTTGTCTGCACAAAAATGTTAAGACAACTATTGAGTGGTGTCTCCACACTGGTGTAATTATTTTTGTGCAGAAAAATGTATGTTGTATCACAGCCATTGTGCCAAATGTGTTGTACATCAGTTGTAAAACTTAAGTATATACAGGGCCTAGGACTTTAGTTTAGGTAATTAGGCTTCTCCAAGGTCTGATGCTGCTGATGGTCATTAGTAGCCTACCAAACTTGCTAACTGCCTGGTACTCAGCACTCCATTGTCCCTCTAATCACTCTGACATCAATGCAAATCTAATCGAAAATCTAATCAAACACTTCATGAGAGCCCATGAGCTGATGTTGTGCAACATTTCTATAGGCTATGCAATTGCGTGAGAAAACAGAGTGATGACCTCTATTAAAAAGAGGAGGATCCCATCAGCTTTCTATAGGCTAGGCCTACTATATTTATTTCTAAACTTTCCTAATATTAAGCACAATGTTTCTCTTTACAACAGGAGTATAGCCTACCTAGCTGGCATGAAAATGAACCACGGAAAAGCGTCCTCCATTCGCTATTTAATTGCAGAGGTTACATTTTTTCCCGCTGCCCCTGTTTCGAGACAGGTGCATGATAATTGTCCATTATCACTTTTGAGAATGGTGTTTTCATGCTAGTGGAACAGGTTTTTTTTCCTTCCTTAAAACAGGTTTTTTTATGTTAGTGGTTGTATTAATTTGGGATCTATCGCATCCGACAATTGTCCCAGACTATGTTTGGAATATTTATTTCTCGCACAGAATAGAACAGGTCAACTTTTGTACTATGGGGGATAGTAGATTGACATAGGTTAGTGCTTTTGCTGTTCATTAAGCTTACTCATCTTGTTGGCTGAAGAAAAGTCAATGTGGACAGTTCTTCCAATATCTTCAATATGCGCCTCGGAATTGGATAAGGACCCGCGCAGTTGCGTCCCCGATGTGTCGGTCTTCACTTGTAGCCTGTGAGAAAGACCCGATCAAGTGACTGAGAGCCATGTGAGTGAGAGGTGCTTCAGCACGCAGCCAGGAGAAGGGAATTATAATTATTGTATACAGCCCAAGGGCACAAGGCCACTGGCCGCAAAAGGCATGGATTTTTTTAGTGGGCATTATGGCCACACAAAGGGGATGCAGCCGGGAAACTTGAGGCATTATCAAGTGCTTGTCAAATTGTGAATGAGAGATTGATGAAGTGTGTACAGCCTATGCAAATAAAAAAGCAGAGCTCATGTCTTTCATGCAACCTTTTTCAAATCAACATTAGAGTCGCATCATGCAGCCTTAGAATGTATTAAAAATCAAAACATATAGCCCAACATTTCTATCACACCTAAAGTTACATAAATAACTCTAAATTAAGCATATCGGAGTACCTGTTTCTTTGTTAACCGCTCAACACAGAATAGACGCATGTGCGCACTCCCTCAAATCGTTTGGCAAAAATATCCTTTCTATTTTATTTAGCTATGTTCAACTGTATTCTTCATACTATAAACAAACAAAAAAGAATGCCATGGAATTCTAAGCAAATCTTGTCTGCTAAATGAACCAGTGTAGCCCACAGCCATATGGCATAGCCAGATCAGGGCCTAACATAAGGACAACTCAGAGTATGCTATTCTGTTCTTCTGAAATAGACTACATTTTCTTCATATCATGTTTCTTTAGACCTATCTAAAATAAATAATGGATGTATTGTGATGGTGTAAGCTATATTAAATTGATTTATTCAACTTTTTTAAATGTAGATGTTCCAAAGGTCTGCATCAGTGGCTTGTAGGCTATGTGTGGAAGCCAGGAGATGCTAAATGTGTTTATGTTAATTCACGGTCAATTACCGTGAGACAGGCAGTTATTTGCTTGACAATCACCAGCTGACAAAATTTTATGACCACCACAGTGTGGATTTGAAATAATGTCTAATGGGATAGAAGGTGGAAGTTCTTCATTAGAGTCAATCACATGTCATTTGTCTGCCAATCCTAACCAAAGTTGACTTATTATTTAAAAATGGCTGTCTAAACATACATTGGTTGGCATAGGAAAAATAGCTCTGCCTGTCGGTGCAAGATGTATAACCGCTTTAGAATGTTCAGTGTGAATACGGTCCATTCGAATTCACAAAGCATGTCAAGTAGGATACTCATCACAAAAGTAAATCACCAGACCATTCATTGCTACATAGCCTAGACTGCAACATTATCTTCTCCTTGAATAGAAATGCACCTCAATCACCACTACCGTCAAAGGTTCACTCATTGATATTCAGAAGAGTTGGTTTTACAGCTGCTGACCTGTTCCAGGGTGCCTGCTCAGGTCTGCTAATTATAGGCGTGTTAGTCGTTGCAGCTCCAGGTTATTGCTGTCCAATTACTGAGACCTTCTTTATGGATGTTTCAACAAATCAAAATAAAAAATCAAATCAAACTTTATTTGTCACACGCGGCTGAATACAACAGGTGTTTCACCTTACCGTGAAATGCTTACTTACAAGCCCTTAAACAACAATGCAGTTCAGGAAAGAGTAAAACAAATATTTACCAAATAAACTAAAGTAAAAAAAAAAAATATATATACAATAAAATAAGAATAATGAGGCTATATACAGGGGGTACCGGTATCGAGTCAATGTGCGGGGGTACAGGTTAGTCGAGGTAATTTGTACATGTAGGTAGGGGTAAAGTGACTATACATAGTGTGAGAGTTCAGTGACCAGCCGGAGGAAGACTACACGACAGCACCCTCCTCAGGGGATAGGTACTCAGTGTAAAGCCAATTAGCACACAGCTGGGCCCACTAATTGCTTTGTGTCTTCCTCTATATAGGTGTGCCAGGAGAGGAGCTGGGAGAGATTTGGGAGTAGAGACAGGGACCTGTGAGGACGTCGTATTGTCCTACCTCAGAGAAAGCTTCTTCGTCTGGGGCCCCTTGTCTCTCTGTTAACCAAGGCAGACTATAGATAGAGAGAAGCGTTCCTCCTTTAACTGTATGTGTAGACGATAGTCTAAAGACAGGAGGAGCCATTTGTTGTTTTGCTTTCCCTTTTTGGGCCACGGCCTTTTGGTCAACGGCTTAGTTTGTAAATTGTTTTGTTACGCTGTTGTTTCAGCGTTGGACGTTACCCTGTTTTGGAATTACTTTGTTGGGCGAAAGAAAACCTGTTCAGTAACAATACAAAAGAAAAGGAACCACAACCACTGCCTCTGGTCTGTTCATTTCATGCCTCTCGTTTGTGTTAGGGTGCTTCGGACAAGCTGATCTGTTCACAATAGATAATAGACAGATAATAGGCGGGGGGGGGGGTCAATGTAAATAGTCCGGGTGGCCATTTGATTAATTGTTCAGCAGTCTTATGGCTTGGGGGTAGAAGCTGTTAAGGAGCCTTTTGGTCCTAGACTTGGCACTCCGGTATCGCTTGCCGTGCGGTAGCAGAGAGAACTGTCTATGACTTGGGTGAATGGAGTCTTTGACAATTATTTGGGCTTTCCTCTGACACCGCCTAGTATATAGGTCCTGGATGGCACGAAGCTTGGCCCCAGTGATGTACTGAGCCGTACGCACTACCCTCTGTAGCGCCTTACGGTCAGATGCCGAGCAGTTGCCATACCAGGTGGTGATGCAACTGGTCAGGATGCTCTCGATGGCGCAGATGTATAACTTTTTGAGGATCTGGGGACCCACGCCAAATCTTTTCAGTCTCCTGAGGGGGAAAAGGTGTTGTCGTGCCCTCTTCACGACTGTCTTGGTGTGTTTGGACCATGATAGTTCATTGGTGATGTGGACACCAAGGAACTTGAAACTCTCGACCCGCTCCACTACAGCCCCTGTCGATGTTAATGGTGGCCTGTTCGGCCCGCCTTTACCTGTAGTCCACGATCAGCTCCTTTGTCTTGCTCACATTGAGGGAGAGGTTTTTGTCCTGGCACCACACTGCCAGGTCTCTGACCTCCTCCCTATAGACTGCCTCATCATTGTCGGTGATCAGGCCTACCACTGTTGTGTCGTCAGCAAAAAATAATAATTTTGTATGTTTTTTTTTTATGGGGTAGATCAGCTTTAATATTGCAGATAGATTGTAACTTCCATCAATGTAATTGTCTGCATCACTTCCAGGAGCCATCGCCTGAGAGATCTCTAGCGGATCTCCTTCGCCTCCTCGACTGGGTCAAGCCATGTGAGGAAGAGAGGGGCTTGACGTGGAAGCAGAAGGGCGAAAGGCTGGCAAAAAGTATGGAGACCTGGTCCACGGGTAGGAGTGAAGCCCATAACATTTTTAGGGGGGGGCTAACGCCGTGGACGACGGGGCAGCAGGAGACCGCGACAGAGCAGCCCAGCGGGTTGGCAGAGGAGGCCGCCAGGTTACGGGGGCCACTGGTCGAAGAGGGGAAGGAAGGTGTAGAGGCACGGCGAGAGGTACTGGGGTGTGTTACCAGTCCGGTCCGGCCCATTCCTGATCCCTGCATAGGGCCAGTGGTGTGTGTCCCCAGTATGGTCCGGCCTGTTCC